AAAGTTTAAAAAGAGACGAAGAAAAAGCCTCTTTCACATCATCTAAGAGATACATTTTTATATTTTTTTACATGGTACTATATCCTAATGAGTCCTTATCAGACCAGGCGATGCATTTTTAAATCTTCTGTTGTTCAATTTTGGTGAAGCTGTGCGAATTGTCACCTCAGTATCTCGTCTGCTTCAAGATTTGATATGTTGTGTATCCAGGGATATTCTTCCGCATACAATGGCTGTAATGAGTGACTAACTAGTGTTGCCTTCCAGCTCAAAGCAGCCTGGCCTTTCTGCTCGGATCTCTGGCATCAACAAGGCATATTTTCCACAGTGAATGGTACTCACTAAATATATTGTTTGTTGGAGCATTTCTCTTGAAATCCTGGAGGTTGCTTGAGAAAATCCCAGTTGTCAGATCAGAACTTGTGGCACCAACCACGTCATGCTAAAAGTCACTTGCTGCTGTGTAATTGGATGAACAGATATGTGTGTTAACAAGTAGCTCAACAGGTATATCTAGTGTGATCTAAAGTGGCCACTAAGTGTAGAATAAACTGTAAACAGCAAGGGTATTTTGTTGACAAATAACATCCAGTTTCATCATACTTTTTACAATAATTAAATTCTGAAAGTCACTTTTTAACTTGAAACAGGAAGTATCTCTCTTTAGTTTGAGTGGGGATTTATTCCCTCTACCCAAATAGGGGAAGTGCTTCATTTATTGCCCAATCAACCACAGAATTTAGTCACTGAATAAGAATAAAAATCACAACATTTAAGAAAAAAAATCTGCAGGTTTATTGTTTTTTTTTTCTTAACAGTACAGTAGATACATGTCATGACCCTGCATTGGTAGGGAATAGGTGCCTTAAAGAACAAGCAGTGCTTGTTATATTCATGTGACGAATGACTGACAAATCAAACACATACACTAGGAGAGAGGTCGTTTGACTTCCCAGCAATCTCTTGACAAAAATACCTGCAGATGCATCACTTCCATTTCACAATCATTAAAAAGGAATCCAGAGTTTTCAACCCATACTCAGGAACCACAGTACAGTCTAGGAAGACCATAACTCGGTCTTGGTCCATTTAGTTAAAAATGAGAAAAAAAGTGAAACACTGCGTACAAATAAGGTCACTTAAATGAGAGAAAAATGGAAGCATGTAGGCTGGTTAACAAAGCAAGTCGTCAAGCTGATGCGAGAGCAGTTCGAAGGCGTGACTCTGTCCTGGTATGCTCGTCTGTGTTGCTGGTCGTACAGGGAAGCAAGAGGCGTAGCGGGTGGGGGGATGCCTCGGTGAGTT